TCCTGATGCCACGCTTCTCCTCATAGAGCCCAGCCTCCCGGATAATCTGCTCTGCATACAGGTTGAAAAGGTATGGAGATAGGACACATCCTTAGCGTACACCCTTCCCAATTTTGAACCATGCAGAGTTGCCCTGCTCTGTTCTGACTACTGCCTCTCGGTCCAAGTATAGGTTTCGCATTAGCACAATTAAATGTTCTGGGATTCCCATTCTTCTCAGAGTCAGCCACAGTTTGTTGTGATCCACACAGTCAAACGCCTTTGCATAATCAATAACAACCACAATTATTAAAATTAAATGCACCCAGGTGCTTCTTAAGGGGAAGGATGATGAAACTCTCTCACATACTTTGGGCACATTGTTAGAAGGAGCCACTTGCTTGAGGAAAAAAGCATAATGCTAGAAATGCAAAGGGTCGGAGGAAAAGAGGAAGATCCTCAGTGAAATCGATTGACACAGTGATGTAACAATGTATTGAGCATGGTGGAGATGGTACGATGGTTCAGTATAGGGCACAAGTACTATCTGTTGTTCATAGGATCACTATGAACCCACTTACCAAGATGAGAGCCCTTTGTTATTTTCTCAAAAGCAGCAACAGGAAAATGTCAACTTACCTGCTTAACTCATATTAGTGTTTCTTCTGGACAGTGCTAGCGTAGAGAAATCCAATGTGAAGATTTTATTACTTTTATCTTAAAGCAAACATTACTTCTTTAATTTTTGATATTTCAGAAGAGAGAGATCATTTTGCAAAGGGACTTGCTCCGTTTGTAGGCACAATTTGTAGAAAATAGGAAAAATTCAAGGCTGGATGGAATTGAAAAGAAAACTTTTACATATTTACACTTTGATAATTGTCCATAGTTGTAGACGGGCTTCAGGCCTTTTTGTTCCTAGGGTCACTATGAGTTATGCTCAACTCGAAGACAATCAACAACAACAACAACAACATATATCATAAAGTTTCTCTGGAAAAATGAAGAAATTACTTCTTTGCAGAGATCCAGCCCAGGCCAGAGGTTAAGGTGAAATCAAAGGTTTGGCTTGTTAAAACTTCAAAAAGATTTAAGGGTGCCTCTCAGATGCTTGCAGTTATAAAAAAGCTTTTCAAGATCTTAAAGATGTTGTTCCACAGTAGCCTCAAAAGTGGTCCCAGAGGGAAAAGGCCTGACTCAAACAGAAAATGACTTAGGAAAATGGAGCTAGCTCCTTCAACACTCACAGAAAACTAGAGCCCATCAGGGAATGGTGTTGGTGCAGTGGTGGAAGCATCATCAGCTACAGGACTGAGGGAGTACAGTGCTTAGGATCCTTCTTTCCCGTTCTTCTAAGGAAGCTGGCTGAAGAGGCTACTGCGTTGTAAAAATGAGCTCTTTCTAATCCATGAGGACGAGTCAGATGGTGGGTGCAAGAGCCCTGAGGAGAGAGAAGTGATGGGTAGAAGCAAAAGAGTAGAAATGGGCCCTAATAAAAACAGAATTGTAATCTGGCTTGGAGTTCAAATGCCACATACTGTGTATCTCCTATACCCTTGATTTTGAACATTGTCAATTATTTTGGTGGTGGTGTTGTTGTTATGTGCAGACTAGCTTGCAATGCATAGCAACAGCCCTGAAACCTACTCTATCTTGTGCTAACCTTATTGTCTCTGACACACCTAATCTCATCACGCTTCAGTATTCTGGAGAGGTCTCTGACAGCAGAATTTCCCAGTGCAATTAATCTTTTGGTTTCCTGGCTACTGGTACCAAGAATGTTGATTATGGAGCCAAGCAAACTAAAGCTGTTAACAATCTCAACCACTTCACCCTCTATCATAAAGCTGCCAATTGGCCCAGTGGTGAGAATCTGTTTTCTTGATGTTGAGCTTCAATCTATATCCCTCACACCAGATCCCCCTCCCCTCCTCAACCCACACCCTCTTCACCCATCAAACCATGCGATCCCATGATTACCCCTCATCTCCACCCCTCTGCTCCCCCCCTTAGATCTCCAAACATGCAAGATTGCAGTCCTTGACCTTCTGCAGCAAGCACTTCAGGTCCTCTTCAGTTTCGGTAAACAGGGTTCGGTAAGCAGGGTTGTGTCATCTGCGTAACTCAGGTTGTTAATGAGTCTTCTTCCAATCCTGATGTCACACTTCTCTTCATAAAGCCCAGCATCCCAGATGATCTGTTCTGCATATAGATTGAAAAGGTAAGGAGACAGTACACATCCCTGGAGTACACCCTTCCAGATTTTAAACCATGCAACATTTCGTTGCTCTGTTCTGACAGCTACCACCTAGTCCAAGAATAGGTTTCACATAAGCACAATCAAGTGTTCTGATTCAAGTTTTCCATTCTTCTCAGAGTTAGCCACAGTTTATTGTGATCCACATAGCAAAATACCTTCGTGTAGTCAGTGAAACCCAGACATTCTTCATTTCTTTTAAGACAGGTTCATTTGTTCTTCTAAAAGTCCATGGTACATTCAGTATTCTTCACCAACACTTTAATTCAAAAGCATCCATTCCTTTTAGGGCTTCCTTATCCATTGTCCAATTTTCATAGCTTGGGCCAAGTGCACTACAGTCCTCAAGTAGCATCTTTGCTTTTAAACACTTAAAATACTCCACAAGTCTCAAGTCCCCTCACCCACAAGCAGCTTAGTCTAATGCAATTAATTGCACTGGAAGCCACTAAGTTTGGAGTTCTTTATTATACAACAAACGATACCTGTGACATACCACATGCTAGCTGAATGAGATTGAATTTGTTACTAAAGATATCTTTGACCTTCAGCATCTTCATCTACCTGGCATGAGTATTTAAAAAAAAAATCGAGGAAAGTAATATTTGTAGAATAGTTGGTGGTCAGTTATAATATTATTTCTTTTTATTAAAAGGTCACAATTTTCTTTTGTTTTCATAAGAGTTTCCCCCATTTGGAATGCAAATAGTGGTAGAAACTATGCATTTACTTTGTTGTTGTTGTTGTTGTTGCTGTGTACTGTCCAGTCAGAACCAACCCATAGCTGACCCTCTAGTGGGTTTTCTGAGGCAGTTACTTGCATGGGAGGAGATTGTGCATGCTTCTTCCACAGAGCAGCTAGTGGATTTGAACCAGGCACCTTTGAGATTACAGGGCAGCTTCTTGCCACTCGGCCACCAGTACAGATAGCATATTTTTATACACAAATTTCTACTCAAATTCAAATTTAATAAGTATAAATTAATATCAAATATGTATGCATTTAATATTGTAATTTTTAATCACTAATGTAAAAAAAATTAACATTCTAAACAGGTTACTTTTAAAAAGTATTCTTAGTTCAAGAGACAACAGATAACTTGTTGGAAGGAAATACTCATTGGTGCCTTAGCTGTTATTCCAGTCTGTCTCTAAATATCATATGTAAAGTTAACTTGATTTTTCATTCACTAATTAAATAAATGTCAATGGCTTCTTTAAATGCATCATACTGGACAAGAGAATTAGATGGGCTTCTTTGCACCCATTCGGGCCGTAGGTGCCTCAGATCTCCAGTGAGTTTATGTATGACAGGAAAGGGCCAGGAATTGTACTAATGTTGTTGTTATTGTTCTTGTTATGTACCATGGAGTTGGAACCAACCCGTAGCTGACCCTCCGGCAGGTTTTCAGAGGCAATTAATTGCAAGGGAGGAGACTGCCCATCCTTCTCCCTTGGAGCAGCTGGTGGCCTTGAACGTTACCTCTTGCCTTCGGAATTTGCAGCACAGCTTCGTGCCACTCTCTAGGCCACTATTAATTATACTTATTCAATACCTTTTAGGGAGGAAAAGCATACAGTTTTAGCCCCCAGATAAGTTGTACTGAAAACGAAAGCTTGAGAACAGCTAGCAAGCAAACATTATCACAACTTCATCCTTCACTGTTTCTTTTCTTTTATGAAAATGGTGGAGTGGCAATTTTATTCTATCAAAACAGAGTCTAGTAACACTGGTTTTGGTATAACCATAAACAAGCATTTATTACTAGGTCTGAATATTTAAACCAAGCGTGCTCTGTGTTAATTGAAATGTTATTGAGTTGTGTAAGATAATACATTTATTTTAAAATAAAAGTAGGAGATAAAGTGATGTATATTTTGGTGCAGTATTAAATCTATAGTGACCATCAACATAATTTTCACCTTTCATTAACCAATTCTAAGCTTCTCTTACTTTTTTTAAGAAAACCTTAATGCTCATTACTTCAATTTCACTCCCAGGTGAAATTGTTTCTGTAGTCCTTCACCTTTTTCATGTGAATTAAAATTTTATGTAGAATAACTAAGGGCAACCAATACCTGTCTGGGCAGACCCTCTTGCCTAAGCTTAGTTTGGGGAGGGAAGTAAAAACCTCAGACTGGAGACTCAAAAGGGGGTCTGTGAGCGGACGCTAAGAGGTGGACTGGCCTGCAGCCAAAGCTGTGGTCACTGGATTATGAAATCTGGCTCCTTGCAGGGGGAGGGTGGAAACTCGTGCTTTTCCGGAGGCCTGGTGCCTGGGAAAGCCAGCGGAAAGGAGGAGGGAGGCGGGGCCAGTGGGTGTGGGGAGCGCGGGCCGGCTTTGGAATAGGGGGTGCCGGTGGCCACGCTGTCTGCCGGCCCAGTTCTCTCTGCAGGGTACCCCAGTCAGTGGAGGGAGAGGAAAGAACGTGCGAGAAGGGAGCGTGAGGTGTAGTCAGCCGAGCAGTAATCTGGCATTTGGGGGTCAACAAGCTCTGGAGGGGGACGGAGTGCGGGGCGCTCTGCGAGCAGCCGCGCCCATGGGCCGCGCAGACCCGGCGGGGAGCGCCCAGGACAGCGCCGCTGGAGGCTCGCTTGTCCCGGGCCCCACTCAGCTGTATACGCAGAGCTAGCAGGGGTGGGGGCGCAGGTCTGGGTGGCAGGGGTATCCAGGCCCCAGGGGCACGAAGGCGCCCGGCCGCCAGCTGTCTGCGTGGGGCCCGCACAGCGTGTCCGGGTCGGATGGTGCCCAGGCCTCCTTCCGCGGAGTGGGACCCAGGGGACTCCAGCCAAGGCCTGGGGCTGATTGTGATTGGGTAAGTGCGATCCAGGCAGGGGAGGTGGGAGAGCTACTGGAGCCAGATTATCTGTTGTTATCATACATTTGTAGGCAGCCTTGCGTGGTTGCTTCCTCCTGCGAATTGGTGTAAGTCTGATTTGGGTTTCTGCGCATCCATTCATGAAATCATGCGTGCTAACATCATGGGCCTTCATTAAGTGAAGTTACTCACTTGCTCAGAGATCACTTCTCAATTAATCCCAAGAGCCTGGGTTGCTTATGGGACTTGTTTGTATTAGGTCAGTGTGGGAGATTTATGTGGGAAAGAGTAACAGCCTGATAGTCACTCCTGAGAGTCCAGGATCCTAAATGCGTCACAAGTGCAGTCCTTGGTTTTGACCCCTTCTAACTACAACACTCAGACAATCAGATCTTCCTCTTAGGCAGAAATACGACTGAAAAATGTGATCACAATTTATCATTAGAATATGCTAAAGTGGTAGAAGATACAGTTATAAAGAAAAAATTGCCATTGACCCTGAACTGACTCCAGCAAGTTTTTTGGTTTTTTTTTATTTTAAATTTATTATTATTATTATTATTTTCAATGAACATCTACAGAGATTTTGGAATTCCATTCATTTGCTGGCTGAAAATTGGGTCGGAGAAAGTGCTCCATTTTTCTCCTGATTTGGAACTGACTCTACAGAGGGTTTTCAGAGTCTGTAAATAGCAGAGGAGGAGATTACTCATCTTTCTCCTATGGAGCAAGAGGTGAATTTGAACCACTGGCCTTTGGTTTGGCAGTGCAACTCCTTACCACTAAGCTGAAGTAAAAGTAGTTAGCTAAAAAAATAGTACAGTCTAAAATAGTTGACTCTTTCCTTGACTAATGAAAAGGCCTAGTTCATGGACAGAGGAACTCAGCCATAGCTCTGCTGTATCTGAAGAATAGCTCAATATAGTTCAGTGGTTTCATCTGTCAAGCAAGGACACCCAGAGCTCCTTTCCAAATGTACAGTCTTAAAGGTACCAACCTTAAGTTTCTAATGTTTTCTAAAATTTAAGCCATGCTTACATGAACTTGTGTAAAGCGACTATGCCTATGCTTTATGTAAAATAAGGTGGATTGATATTAAAGCACATTGGCATTTTAGGAAGTATTTCTAGGTTCTTGGCCACCTCATATACTTTGGGCATGTTCTAAAGAGGGTGGGCCAATCTCAGAAGGAGTAATGCTGCTTGGAGGACAGCATTCTTGGAAAGGTGGAAAGCCAATGTAAGAGAGAAGACTCTCAGTGAGATGGATTGATACAGTAGCTGTAACAGTGGGCTCGCATGGGTCAGAGATCATGAATGAACATGGCACAAACTAGGGTAAGATTCAGAACCATTAATCATAGGTTCATAATGAGCAGTAGTGGACTTGAAGGCACTAAACAACATCCTATCCTTGGAAGGAGCTCTGGTGACTTGGTCCATAGGGAGTTGTGGTGCTAAGGCCAAATGCTGTGTATCTCTCTGGCAGTTAGAATTCACCAGCAACTCTAGGGCAGTCTCTTCCAGTGGGATTTACAGTCTGGTAAACCTGCTGGCATGCCTGCTATGACGCGGTTCCAATTTGATGGCAATGACTCACTTTTGATCCACTACATTGAAGATATCTTTGTAGACTGTATTTTCAAATAATCAAACAAAACTCTCACTCATTTGGACTCATAAATATCTTCCAAGGCTGTAAATGCTCAAAGGAGGATTTATAAGCAAAGAACTGATGCCTTTGAATTGTGGTGTTGGTAAAGAGTATTAGATGTACCATGAACTGCCCAAACCCAAATCTATCTTGAAGAAAGTCTAACAGAGTTCTCCTTAGAGAAAAGAACGGTGTGTCTTTGTCTTACCATATCTGGACATAATTTCAGGAAGAATCAGTCCTTGGAGAGAATCATCATGTTGGGAAAGGTAGAGGGTCAGTGGAAGAGAGGAAGACCTTCAACAAGGTGTTTTGACACAGTGACTACCACAGTGGGCTTGAACTTGGTAGAGCTCATGGGGATGGTGAGGATGATGCAGGAACTGTAAGGTTCAGATCTTGTTCGTCAGGTTCATGGCACCTCAAGGAGGGTTTTATAAAACAAAACCAAGAAAACCAAATCTATTGCCGGCAAGTGAATTCCGATTTATATTCATGGCTATTGCTAGAAGTTATTAGGTGAGGAATATACACCAGGGGTCCTCGTATAGATTATCTCTTATTGCTGTCAAGTCAGAACCTGCGCATGGTTGAACGTGCATTGGAATTCCAAGACTATAAATCCACAGGAGCTTGCCTAGTGTAAGTCCCTGTGAACTGTATTACCAAACCTCCCTAGATATTATATATTGTCGTTATGCCCCGTTAAGTTAGTACCAACTCATAGCTGATCCTCCCCAGGTTTTCAGAGGCAATAATTGCAAGGAAGGCAATCGCCCATCTTTCTCTTATGGAGCAAATGGTGAATTAGCACTGTATACCTTAGCACTGACAGTAAATTTCCTTATCACTAAGCCACCAGAGCTCCTATAGAGGAATCTATAATTTACAGGAAATTAATTTTTTTTACATTATACATGCAACAAATAATACAATGCTTGGTTAAAAGACAGAGAAACTGAAGGGTCAAAAGAAGATGTTAAAAATAAAATTTTTTTAAAAAGTATTCATTTCAGTGGTTCTGGTTTAAATTTCTAATGCCAGTGATTTCACGTTCCTGAAGAGACTTGGCAGATTAGGTGGCTTGTGCCTCAAGCCCACTTTCACCCTTTATTTTTCTGTGATCTGTAGCTTGTTACTGAACTTTTGGTCTTCATTTGTTCTTCACCCACTTTCTTTGGAATTATTCTGAATTCAGTGGGAAACTTAAACGTAAGTCTTTTACTGAATCCTGAAGTTCCACAAGTTCCTGACATATAAAGAAACTTTGCAGGAGGCAAAGAAAGGAAAGCTACGAGGGAAAAAAGTTGGAAAAGGATGTGAAAGTAGATTGTATTTTATGGTAGCTGTTTAATAGTACAAATAGATAATGTCTTCCGCTTTCCCTGCCCACATCCTCAAGAATTCCCAACTTCACCTACACTTTGAAGTCAGTGCCAGTGTTGCTCTTAGAAAGAAAGGATGTAGTGTAATGTAAAAAGTTTATGTAATCACAACTTTTGGAAATCATTTTCTTCTTGATTTGAAAATACTTCTCCCTCCCTTTCAGAATAAGAGTGGATTTTCTAGAGAAAGATATTATTTCTCATTGAAAACAAAGCAAATCGACTAACATGTATCTGATTAGTGACTTTAGCTTATAAGTTATGCAAAGTTTAGTCAGGAGAGGTGGAAATGTGTGAGGCAGGGGCCTCATTTGTGTATAAACGTCATTTTTAGGGGTTATCAGCTTTGGGGAAAACGGAATTTTTATAGTTGTTTTTATGTGTCGTTGAATAAGATCCAACTTAGACCTGACCTAGTGGGTTGTCAGAGGCTGTAAATCACATGTGAGGAAATAGCTGATCTTTCCCTTCAGAGTGGCTGGATTCAAACCACATGCCTTTGGGCTGCAGTGCATGCAGCTCCTTACCCTCTAGGCCACAGAGCTCATTCTTGGTAAGATCTAAAATGTTGTCCAGCAATGTCTTGAAATGGGGAGATATGTTAATGTTTAGTCACAGTGTAGTCTTTTCTATGAAGTATAAATACTTAAGTAGTTATGGAGGAAAAAAATCACTAATTTAATTTCTGCCTATTAATCTTTTAAACAAATAATGAACATTTTTTGTGTCATACACTATTTTTTGTGTTCCATTTAGTAGCAAGGAGCTGTGTTGCAATCCCAGAGGTACATGGTTTGAATCTGCAAGCTGCTTTGTAGGAGAAGGATGAGAAATTCTCCTCCCATGCAGTTTTCTGCATCTGAAAACCCCTTGGAGAGTCAACAATGGAGCAGTTCTGAGTTGATGGTGCACAGAAACAATTATAACAAAAAGGTGTCTGGATCTTCCCAGTACAATGTTACAGTGCCCTAGAAAGTACCAAAAAAAAAAATGGACCTAATAATAAAATGGCCAAAATAATTTAAAAAGAAAAAGGCAACTCTAAAATGCTGGTGACTTTGTGGAACGATTGGAACTTTGATCCATTGCTGGTGAGAATGCAAAGAGGTACAGCCATGTTGGAAGAGAGTCTTGCAATGTCTTACTAAACACATGATCCAGTGAAATAAATGTTTCCCATAATACTATAATAGTAGACACATAATGTAACAATACTTGTAAAACTGTATAATACAAATTGTGAACCCGAATTTAATCAGGGAACTTTAGTTAATAATTATATGACAGTATTTGTTCATCATTTGTAACAAGAGTCTGACAGGGATGCAAAATGTTACCAGCAGAGCCAGCATGCAGAGAGAGGGGTATATGGAAACTGTACTTGCACAACTTTTCTGCAGGAGTAAAACAGATCTAAAAATAAAATCTAGTAAAGCATGTGGGGGAAAGGCAAAATAAACTTACAAACTTAGGAGAAGGAGAATAAATGTATAGAAGTTGTCAACAATTTCATCTTACTTGGATCTACAATCAACACCTTTAAGACTAGTAGTCAAGATATCCAAAGATGTGTGGCATTGACAAAATCAGTTGTCAAGGAAAACTTCAAGATATTAATGAACAATGATGTCAGTTTAAAGACAAAGTTGAACCTAATTCAAGCTCTGGTCTTTGCAGTTACTTTCTTTGCATCGGATAGACAGACAGTGAATATGGGTGATAGAGGAAGAATTGTTGCCTTTGAGTTACGGTTTTGGAGAAGAGTACTGAACATCACAAGGAATGCCAGAAGAACAAGTATGTCTTGGAGAAAGTTCAACCAGGACGTTCCTTGGACGCAAGGATGGTGAAGGTTCTTCTCGCTTACTTTGGACATGTTGTTAGGAGGAGAGTTGGTCCTTGGAAAAGGACATCATGCTTAGAAAGATGGAAAGTCAATGAAAGAGAAGAAGACCTTCAACAGGATACCTGTAACAATGTGCTCAAGAACTGTGGAGATAGTGAAGATGGACCAAGATAGTGTGTTGTTCATAAGGTTGCTGTGAGTCATAGACAGGCACAGAACAACAATAACATAGACACTTTATTCTGGTGACATAATGGTAAGGAGTTGCACTGGCCAAACCAAAGGTACAAGGTTTGAATCTCCTACCATGTGATTTACAACTTCTGAACAGTCATTGGAGGGTCAGCTATGAATAGATTGTCACTCGACAGTACCTAACAGCAGCAACAACATCATCACTTTACATAATTTATCTCGATTAATTCTTACACTGAACCAAGTTGACAATATTGTCACTATTTACTGATGTGGAAATTGAGGCTCAGAGAGGACAAATAAGTTGCTCAAAGCATACAGCTAATTAATGGCAGAACTAGAGTCTTATCTTTTTTTTTTGTTATTATGTAGATATCCTTGTTATGTGCCACCAGATAGATTGTGACTCATTATGAACAACAAATCATAACCTTGCCCTATCCTGTGTCATGTATACTTACACAGCAGCAATATTTTTGTGATTTCGACTCCTACATTTCTATTATTTCCTGATAACAAATTAACCATATACAGTATGTTTCTTAATATTCAAAGTGTATCTATCCGATATAATTTTAGTTGATTTCCTATTTCATTTTGGAAATATTTGTATGCTTACCTATAGCAGTTGTTGTTATGTGCCATCAAGTTGCTTGTGACTAATAACAACCCTATACAACAGCCCCAAGCCCAGCTCTAACCTGTGCCAACCTTACTGTCTCAGATACACCTACCCTCATTACTCCAGACACTGAGTCAGTCCATCTCATCCAGGATCTTCCTCTCTTCCACTGCCCCTCCACCCTCCCAAGCATGATGTCCCTCTCTAAGGATTTGCAACATGCCCAAAGAATGCCGGCCAAAGCTTCAGACTCCTTGCTTCCAAGGAGCAGCCTGGTTTCACCCTCTCTTCGACAAACCTATTCTCTTAGCAATCCATGGATATTCAGTACTCTTCTCCAGCACCACAGTTCAAAGACATCAATTCTCTTTCTGTCATTCCTAGTCATTGCCCATCTTTCTGATGCATAGCAAGTAATTACAAAGAGTATGGCCTGGATCAGGCACACCTTGGTCTCCAGGCTGGCATTGTTGCTCTTCAGTACTCTAGAGAGGTCTCTGACAGCTGACTTTCCCCAAAGCAACTCTCCTTTTAATTTCCTGGTTGCTGGTACCAAGAGTGTTGATTGAGCTAGATGTAAATGATAAATTACAAAGAAATAAAGTATAAAAATTCAGAGTAGTTATAGACCAGAATGACATTGAGTGTTTGAGCTACCAATTCAATTTTTGCTTATTCTTGCTACAAACATCAGACATCTGTTATGTAATGAGCATTATATTACAAGTTATATTAAAAAAAGAAGGGTCAAAAATAATAAAAAAGGTTAGTTTGTTATGTATATGTGTGTTGGTTTAAAATAACCTAGTACGGTTAAAAATAAAGCAATTTATTATAAGCATGAAAGTTTCTCCCTAACAATAATATGTCTTGTACAAGATACCTATATAAGTAGAATTTCTTACTAACCTCTATTCATAACAATTTATCTTTTTAAAATTGCTTTTGTAATGTTGTTGTCGTCATTATATATCATCCAGTCAGAAGCAACTCATAGGTTTTCCAGACGCTGTAATTTAGCCTGCTAAAAACTCAGCAGATTTTTCAGAGGTTATAAATTGGTGGGTTCAAACTGTCTGCCTTTGAGTTGTCAACACAACTCCTTATAGCTAGGTCACCAGAGTTCCTTTCTAAAAGGACTGTTGTGGCTATTTGTACCCTCAAGTTGGAACTGATCCATAGAGCTGATACTCCAGGGGGTTTAGAGGCAGTAATCACACTCAAGGAGATTGCCTATCTTTCTCTCACAGAGCAGCTAGTAGATTTAAATCACTAGCCTTTGGGTTTACAGTGCAATTCCTTACCACTAGGCCACCAGAGCTCCTTCTTAAAGGACTATCGCTGTATAATTAAGGACAGAGTTAGTTCTCTTGCATTAACAGTTTTAAATGTAAATTCAAATGTTGAAAATGTTAAGGTACAATTTTAACTGAAGACAAAAATAATTAAATTAAATGCATGTTAGTGAGATGGTGTAGAAATATTAAAACATAAGGATTCTGAGCGTCCCCCCGCCCTGTTTTGTTGCTTTGCTTTAAGGTAATCTGTTCTATTTGTATGGTAAGCAGGTCTAGTGGAAGAATAGAAATTGCTTACTGTTAAACATAAGGAATGCATTTTGGTTAAAGGGAAGTAAATGTTTTCAGAAGTTCACTGAAGGGACATATTAATGTTCAACTAGATTAGTAATTTATTTTAGAGATTTCTTTTTCTTTAGTTCTAGTTTATTTTAAAATTTAAACAATGAAGTTCAAGTTACACACAAGCCAGTGAAAACTAAATGAGTTAGAGGCTTGTGCAACTTCAGTCACTTGTGTGGTTTAGTGATTTAGATTTCAGAACTTATGTGAGACTGACGGTTTTGGGCAGGAGAATGGGTTAGGTTTGTGAAATGCGAAGTACAAGGACACCTGGTTACAGGGTAGATTGGAGCCAAAATACAGTCTGTGTTTCCCTTGCCAAGCCTTGTGCCTTGGAGGGAGATTGTATTTGTCTCGAATTTTGGATAGCTTTTAATTTTCTAAGTTTGAGTACCACAAAGAGCTGTTTGTGTTTTGTTTTAATTAACACAAAGTTTGCATGTAAATTCATGGTAACCTTGACTCAAAAAAAGAGACAAAATGGCAAGACCTTAAAGCTCGTGTGTTTTATGTGGTGTATGTATGTGGAAGGCACATAGGATGCGTAACAGCCTGACAGAACAAGATCAGAAAAGCAAGTTATACAAAAAGGATTTTTTTTTTAGAACCATTAATGGGTAAAATTTTGTCTTCATATTATTGAGACTCTTCATATGTTATATTGCTTTATTTTCAGACGAGGAATCTCAGAAGGATCTAAAAAGCACAGTTTTTCTATGAAAAACAAAGATCCCTTGCCTACACATTTTACAAGTAACGTGCAGAAAGCCATCGATAAGTATACCTGGTAAGAAGTAATTCATTAACTACTTCTCCTTAAAAATGTGTGATTAGATACTACTGTCTTAACAGGAGTCCAGAACGAAAGTAGCATAGTGGAGTGGACTTGGGGGGAGGGATTAAATAACAATAAAAGTATTTTTTCTTTTACTTTTCAAAGAGAAAAGCAAATTGAGGGGGAGCGGTGGGCAGGGAGAAAAGTGCAACAAATAAATAAATGGAAATCCAAAGCCTCTGTAAATTTTCATTAAAATCAATGTAAAATTAAAAAAAAGAAACGTGCACACACACACACACACACACACACACATATACACACACACAATATGTCCATAACATTTATGGGAGGAGTTTTGGTGACATGTGGTTAAAGTACTCTCTTCCTAACTGAAATGTTGATATTTTAACCTCTCCAGCCTTTAAGCAGAAGAACGACGTGACAGTCTGCTTTCACAGAAGTTACAGGCTTAGAAACCCTATGGTTGCTGGTTGCTGTCCATTCAGAATTATTCCTAGCTGAACTTTCATTAGGTTTTCAGAGGTCATAAATTGTGGCAGAAGAGATTGGTCATCTTTCTTCCTTGGAGCAGCTAGTGAATTTGAACTACATCCTTTTTTGGTTGACAGTACAATTCTATCCACTAGGCCAACAGCTGCCTCTAAACCCTATAGGACAGTTGTAGTCAGTTCTACAGGGTTACCAGTATCAAAATTAACATTTCAGCAGTGTGAAATAAAGGAAGCACAACTGCTGGGTTGATTGGCTGTGGGTTTCTGTAATGAAAAAGTTATTTTATTCATAATTTAGTGGAATATTTTAAAATTAATGTACTGTGAAATTAAATGTACTTAAAGTAAAATTAGTGTGTTATTTTAAAATTAGTTTACTGTGAATTTTTTTTAAAAATCTATTTAAAGGAAGAAAGTAAATACTCAGTGAATTTTTTTTTTGAAGGATTCTTACTTTATTTCCCCAGATCTTCAGGCAACCCTATTGAGCTAGAGGTCACATGCAGCTGAGTATAAAAACCAAGAAAAATATAAGGCTTAAAATCAGATCACCTCGTCCTGGTCAGTGTTGCTCTGATGTGTTCCTGTTTGCTCCCCTAGTGAATCTGTGTCATCTTTGTCATCAAGTGGAACCGCCACCCCCACGGAGGCACACCACCCTTGGTCAGGGACGCAGAGTTCTACCACCGGCTTATCTACAGAGAGGAGCTCCGTATACTCTTGGAGAGATGATGTACGTCCCGGGATGCTTGACATAATCCAGTGACTACAACTGTCAACGATGAACCACTCTGTGGTTTTTAAAATACCATTTTACCAATTCGAAAAGGAATACGTGTTTATGGTTAAAAAATGTTTTTAAAGAAAAAAATGTAAAATGGGAAACTAAGGCCTCCTAATCTCATCAACTTTGTTGTTACCTAGCGAGTTGCCACCTAATTAGTTTTGACTCATGAGTTCTGGTGGGCTGGTGGTGAGAGGCTGTGCTGCAGTTTTAACACAGTTTCAATCCACCAGCTGCTCCCTGTGTGAAGACTAGGTGGTCTCCTCCTATGCAATTTACTGCCTTTGAAAACCTGCAGAAAGTTAGCGAAGAGTTGACATTCAACAACAGCAATCTCACCACACCTTTTAGCTGTTGATAATTTCATTATTTCCACATAGCAACCCTTAAATATTTTGAGTATGATTTCTTGTATGGATCCTGTGACAGGAATTTAGTATGTTATTGTTCGTTTCTACCTAGTCAGTTTAGATGTAGTTTATAGGGAGTTGAGCTGCCAGCCCAAAAGTCAGTCATAGGCTCAAATCCACCTGTGATGCCAAGGGAGAATTCTTTTCAAGTGTGATTTACAGCCTGGGAAACATAATTGAGAGCCATCTATGAATTGGCTGCTACTACTCAAAGACAATAAATTAATGAGTGCATAGTTAAAGAAACTGGGGGTTAGAAGAGAAAATAATCTGAGCACTTTTATTTTATTACAAGGTCCACATTCTTTTTATCATGCCATACTCCCATATTATGGGTTATTTTAAAAGGTATAAACTTAAAAAAAAAGGTATAAACTTTATTGATTGTGAAGCTCCTACTTGTACAATTTTTTACTCTTGTGCCTTAATCTGCATTTCTATTTTAGGAATTTGACAAAGGCAATGCTCAGAAAGTGCAGCAGTTATTCTGGGAAGTCGAAGAAATGTTATTTGAAGGCAAAGTAAGCGCTCAGACCCAGAATCTCCTGGCTGAATGCAGTGAGTGGGCCGGAAGGTCCCTCCACCTGAGGTAGGGAAATGGATAATAACAGAATTTTCTAGAATGGCTTTGGAACCACTCACTCTTGATTTGGACTTAAAATCAACCCATCTTTACGGAAAACACTCTCCAGTAAAAAGATATACCCAGTACATATATTCTTTACTGAGAAATCACATCCTTTTTTTAAAATGGTACCTGATGATTCACTGAAACATTACCAGATACAAGAACTTTTTGACTGGTGAGAAGCGACTCTCGCTCATCCTTTGAATGCTATTGCATATGTAAAAACTGCAAGAGCAATAGAATTGATCCTTCCCCTTTGAATTCACCAGTGAGTGAGCAATGAGAGCCTGCCTCAGCAGTGAGGACAGTTTGGGGCAGAACCATTGGATGGGTGGATTTCACATGTATTTCCTTGTGTCATGGGCACAATTTACGCTCCTTATGTAGGAGAAGATTTTTTTTTAATGTCAAAGATGGGGAGTCTAGGTTTGGTCTAACACCTTGTCTTCCTTCAGTTACCTCGCCAACCTGTTTTGTTACTAGGTGTCGTCTAGTCAACTCTAATTCACAAAGACAATATATCCAGCATGGGAAACCCTACCTGATCCTGAACCATTATCTTCACAATCTGTGCCATGCGAAAGCCCATTGTTATAGTCTCTGTGCCAGTCCATCTTGTTGATGCTTTTCCCCTCCTTCACAGACCCTCTACGTTTGCCAGCATGATGTATTTTCCAAGGCCTGACCCCTCCTGATAATATGCCCAAAGTCTGTGAGATGCAGTCTCACCATCCTCGCCTCTGAAGAGCATTCTGGCTGCACTTTTTCTAAGACAGATATGTTTGTTCTTTTGGCAGTCGACCTACCCAGGAAAAATTCCATCCCAGCCAAATGAAGTTTCTCTGTTTTATATTTGGCTGAGTACATTAGAACACTCATTTATGTGTGGATTTTCTAGTTGTTTCCATTAGCTGCTGTCAGACAACTTTTCTTTAAAAAAGATATCTTGACATGTGACTGCTACAGTGGCCCTGAGCATGGCAGGATAGGGCAAAGTTTTGATCAAATTTTCATAAGGTCACTGTGAGTCATGGCCAACCCGATGCCACATAGCAACAGTCACAAAGTCATTTTTCTTTTTTGAGATGGTATCTCATAGTTGTTTATTCTTTTTCTCCCCATTCATATACATTGTGTTTCATACAATTATGCATATACATTCTGTTTTACATTTCCCCCTCTTTTTTAATTTTATACTAGTTCAGATACAAAGTTCATCAATTTCATATACATTGTTTTTCTTCTTTTTAATCCTGCCTCAAAGACATGTCCTTAGGTTGTCTGCTAGGTTACTAGTTGTAGACACTTGCACTTCTACCATCAGAATGGGAGGAGTGCTGTCTTACACAGTTAAGATAAAAATAAAGGAGATGAGGTCAGGGAAAGGAAAGGTCACAAGGTAATGTGTAAGCCCATAGACTAAGTCTTTATTAATGTTCTTTTCTTCACTGTGGTAATTCAGCTAACACAGACAACTTTTCTGTGATCAGTAATGTCCTAGACGTGGTACACACATTATCTGTAAGTATGTTCGGTTGTTGTTTTTTTAAGTGACATCAAGTCAACTATAGCTCATGACAACCCCATGAACAAAAAATCTGAACCCTCTTCTTTAACTGTTGTCAAGAATGTTCTACCAGGTAACTATTATTATTCCATTTTACAGACACATAAGTGAAAATAATGACTTATAGAAGCAAAAAAAAAAAAACCACCTTACTTACAGTCAGTGTTAGTAACAGTGTTGGGACCAGGTCTGTGCTGCTCCCAGAAGCTCAAGTTTTCTCCCTGACACCATTTGCTTCTCATGCACAGTGTGCCTCTTACCACTCCATACACATGCCATCAGAATCATGTTATCCTATTTTAAAATTTCAAGATATCTTCCCCATTTCCTATCAAAACCCTTAGTAATTTTTAATTTTTATTTCATTTCCTTTGCAGAGTGTTAGGTCGACAGCTCATCCTGCCAACTGATGAAGGCTTCCAGCACTTTGAGGGCAGCAGGCCTCGTTCTGTCCCCCAGAGACCCTCACTCCAGGCTTGTGGACCCAACAGCAGTGTCAGCAAGTATGTCTAATGGATTACTTATGATAAGTGTTTGTAACTATTTTAGTAATAATTGTTTCACCTGTATCTAGTCCATGTTTATCTTTCCACTTATCTGGAAAGTTAGACATGTAGGAAGGTACAGTGCCGTTTTTTGTCAATATTTTATTTTCATTATACTAGTGTATTTGCAAAATTCGAATACATTGTTTTCCAGAACAGATTCTTCCAATTTCCCTCCCTCTCCACCCATCAAATTGTACAACTTCATGATTAATGCCCCTCTTTCCCTACACATCTTTATCCTTCTGCATTTTTATGACACACGAATTCTGATTTGAAATTTTTAAACACACAAAACTATGTGTACAAGTGTGTGTGTGTGTGTGTGTGTGTGTGTGTGTGTACTGGTGCCTTGGGCACCAGTGAGTGTAGACCAAATGAGTTCTGGGAAGATATCAAGAAAATTATCCATGAAGAATGCAAAAGATCATTACAAAGGCTGAAGAAGAAGAAAAGACCAAGATGGATGTCAGATGAGACTCTGAGTATTGCATTAGAATGCAGAGAAGCCAAAGCTAAAGGAAGAAATAAAAGAGCTGAACAGAAAATTTCGAAAGGCAGCTCAAGACGACAAAGCAAGATACTATAATGAAATGTGCAGAGAGCTAGAGTCAGAAAATCAAAAGGGCCAAACTCACTCAGCGTTTGTGATGCTGAAGGAGTTGAAAAACAAATTCAAGCCACGGGTGGCAATAATTAAAGATAGTTTGGGTAGAATGTTAAATGATCCAAGAAGTATCAAAAGAAATTGGAAGGAGTACACAGAGTCACTGTAACAGAAGGAATTGACTGACACAGAAGAATGTCATGAAATAACATATGAGCAAGAGCCTCTGGTGATGAAGGAGGAAGTTCAAGTTGCTCTGAAGGAATTGGCAAAAAACAAGGCTCCAGGTGTTGACAGCATACCAATTGATTTATTTCAACAAACAGATGCTGTCCTGGATGTGCTCACTAAGTTGTGCCAAGGAATCTGGAAGACAGCCAGCTGGCCGACAGACTGGAAGAGATTGATATTTGTTCCCATTCCAAAGAAAGGTGACCCAACAAAGTATGGAAATTATCAAACAATATCATTGATAACACATGCAAGCAAGACCCTGCTGAAAATGATCCAAAAACGTTTGGAACAATATGTCAACAGAGAACTTCCAGTTATGCAAGCTGGGTTTAGAAGAGGTCGTGGTACTAAGGATATTATAGCTAATGTTAGATGGATGTTGGCAGAAAGCAGAGAATACAAGAAGAATGTGTATCTGTGCTTCATTGACTATGCAAAGGCTTTTGACTGTGTGGGTCACAACAAGCTATGGCTGACTCTGAGAAGAATGGGAATCCCAGAACATTTGATTGTGCTGATGCGAAACCTATACTTGAACCAAGAGGCAGTCATCAGAACAGAGCAGGGAGACACTGGATGGTTCAAAATCAAGAGAGGGGTCGTTCGGGGATGTATTTTGTCTCCATTCCTTTTCGATCTGTATGCAGAGCAGATCATCCGAGACACTGGGCTGTACAAGGATGAATGTGGCATCAGGATTCGTGGAAGAATCATCAACAACCTGCAGTATGTGGTTGACACAACCCTGCTTGCTGAAGTGCTTGCTGCAGAAGGTCAAGGACTACAGTCTTCAATATGGATTGAAGCTCAACATCAAGAAGACAAAGATTCTCACCACTGGGCCAATTGGCAGCATCAGTATGGATGGTGAAGAGATTGAGATAGTTAACAGTTTTCGTTTACTTGGTTCCACAGTCAGTACTCTCAGTAACAGCAGCCAGGGAATCAAGAGACAAATTGCATTGGGAAAATCAGCTGTGAAGGACCTCTCAAGAGTACTGAAGAGCAATGACATTAGGCTGGAGACTAAGGTGAGCCTGATCCGGGCTATAGTCTTTGCACTTACGTGCTATGCATCAGAGAGTTAGACAATGAATAGGGATGATAGAAAGAGAATTGATGCCTTTGAGCTGTGGTGCTGGAAAAGAGTGTTGAATATACCATGGACTGCTGGGAGAACAAGTAGGTTTGTCCTGGAGAGGGTGAAGCCAGAATGCTCCTTGGAGTCAATGATTCTGAAGCTTCATCTGACATACTTTGGGCATGTTGCAAGGAGGGACTGGTCCTTGTTGAGGGTCATCATGTTTGGGAGAGTGGAGGGACAGCACAGGAGAAGAAGACCCTCGATGAGGATGAGATGGATCGATTCTGTGAGTGGAGTGGTGGGAATGAGTGTGTTTGAGACGGCGAGGCTGACACAGGATAGAGTGACGTTTAGGGCTCTTGTATATAGGTTCGCTATGAGTTGCAAGTGACTCGATGGCACATAACAGCAACAACAACTGTGTGTGTGTGTGTGTCTGTGTGTGTCTGTGTGTGTGTGTATACTTGTTGTTAAGTACCAATGAGTCTTATTCAACTTATAGCAACTTTATGTTTAACCTTGCCCTACCATTGATATCGTCACTGTATCAATACATCGTGTTGGGGGGCTTCTTCTCTTATTCTCACTCTCCATCTTTCCCACTGTGATGTATTTTACCCAAGTAGTGTTCCCTCCTGACAACATGTTGCTGTTATGTGCTGTCGATTCGTTTGCGACTCATAGCAACCCTGTGTACAACAGCCCTAAACCGTGCTCTATCCTGTGCCAATCTCATTGCCTCTGACACACACATCCCGATTACCCCAGTCACTGAATCAATCCACCTGACAACATTCCTGACAACATACCCAAAGTAAATAAGGTAAAGTTTCACCACCCTTGCCTCTCAGAAGCACTGTAGTGGCACAGCTACAAGACAGAATTGTTTTTGTTTGGGAAATCCATGGGATATTCAGTACTCTTTTCCAACACACTGTTCGAAAGTATAAGTTATTCTTTCGTCTTTATTCATTGGTCAATATTCAGATGCATAAGAAACAACTGAAAATACTATGACCTTAGTCTTTACATGTCTATCTATCTATCTATCTATCTATCTATCTATCTATCTATCTATCTATTATCGATTTATCTATCTATCTATGTATCTATCTATCTCTATCTCTCTATCTAATCTATTTCTCTATCTACCTACCTTTATTATGTTGTTATTGTTAAGTGCTGTCAGTTGAATTGAGTATAACTCACAGCAACCTTATGAACAGTTGATCTGAACTCTGTTCTATCCTGAGCCATCCTTATCATCATTGACATATTTGAGTCCGTTGTCACGGGGACTGTATCAATCCATATTTTTAAGGTGCACCTAATTCAATCCATAGTCTTCCCAATCACCTGATATCCATCTGAGAACAAGACAGTGAATAAAGATGACAGGAGAAGGGTTGGTGTAGCAAACCAAAAAAAGGATTAGTGCTAGTTGGAGTTTTCAAGATTCTAATTTTTACATAAACTGAGTTACATCTTTCTCCTATAAAGTGGCTGGTGGGTTCCACCTGCCAACCTTTCATTTAGCATCCTATCACTGAATCACTGTAGTATCATGGCTTCATAATATGCAAACACATATGCATTTGTCTAGATACACAAATTCTTATGTATATGTGTATATTTACATGGGTATATTTATTTGCAATGACATTAAAGTCAACTTCCATTCCAGAGGCAATTTGAAGAATAGGTGAGGTGTAAAATCAAAACCTGCCTCCTTGTGGTAAGTCTATAATTTCAAGGCCATAGTGTAAGAGTATGTTAGGCTCTACCCTGTATGTCAGCCTAAAGACTAAGGTGCACCTTATCCAAGCCATGATCTTTACAGATACTTACTAAGCATCAGAGAGTTGGATGATGACTAAGGATGATAGATGAAGAATCAATTCCTTTAAGTTGTGGTGCTGGAGAAACACATTGAGCATACCATGGACCACCAAGAGAACCAAGAGATCTGGCCTAGAGGGGGTGAAACCAAGCTGGTCCTTGGAGCCAAGGATTTTGAAGCTCTCTCTCACATACTTTGGCCATGTAGCCAGGAGGGACCAGTCTTTGGAGGGGGAGGGACATTATGCTTAGAAAGGTGAGGGACAGTGCAGAAGAGAAAGACCCTGGATGAGTTGAGTTGACACAGTGACTGGGGTAAGTGGAGTAGGTGTGTTAGAGAAAAAAGAACTGGCTCAGGGGGGAATTTTGAGATAGGTTCATTATGAGTCATAGGCGACTTGATGGCACATAACAAAAACAACAAGATTATGGTACATCTCTCTGTACTTTCACAAGGATTTGATTCTGATGTCCATTACTAGAGAGACGGTATAAACTCGGCAATTTTTGCTTTTAACACTTATTGATGCTGAGTCAAGAAGTTTACTGTGACATCTCTGCGCGCGCGCGCGCGTGTGTGTGTGTGTGTGTGTGTGTGTGTTAATCCAAGCTTTTTGGAGTATTTCTTTTTTAAGTGAATGTTTACTAATCATATTTGTTTTTCATAAACACATTTATAGCCGTGTTAAGTTGTATGCTTTGTCAAATGCAGTATCGAATGATTTTTAATTTGGAATTCTGTTGGGTTTTTTTTTAATAACTTAGTGATCAACTCCTCATGTTGATCAAGTATGATGACTGTGATGGTTGTCAGCCTCCAATGTAGAATCTCTTTCTCCTCTAGGCTGTGCATCTCTGGCTCTCAGCTCTTCCCAACTACAGTCTCAGTGCCTGCTCTGCTGGGGCCTGGGTGCCTACGGACTCCTGACCCGAGAATATGCTCACTCCTAGAAGAAGAAATTTATGCTGTGGATGGGAAAATGGAAGAGTATTTCGCTTTTGATGGAAAAGAAGAGTAAATCCCATTTTATTTGATCTTACTTTGTTGTTGTTGTTGTTGTTGTTATGTGCCGTCGAGTTGCCTGCAACTCATAGCGACCCTATGTACAACAGCCCTAAACTCCGCTTTTTCCTGTACCAATCGCACTGTCTCTGACACTCCCATCCCAATTATCCCAGTCACTGAATCAATCCACCTCATAGAGGGCCTTCCTCTCCTGCGCCGTCCCTCCACCCTCCCAAGCATGATGTCCCTCTCTAAGGACCAGTCTCTCCTCACAACATGTCCAAAGTAAGTTAGATGGAGCCTCAGAATCCTTGCCTCCAAGGAACCACCCTTTCCAGGACAAATCTATTTGTTTTCCTAGCAGTCCATGGTATTCTCAATACTCTTCTCCAGCACCACAGCTCAAAGGCATCAATTCTCCTTCTATCCTCCTTGGTCATTGTCCAACTCTCTGATGCATAACAGGTGATTGTGATATAATGTTAATTTATTGGGCATTGATTTTTATTATATAATTATTTGAGTAAAAGGAGCTCTCTCTGGTGGCCTAGTGGTAAGGAATTGAACTGCCAACCCAAAGTTGTACTGCCAGACCCAGGTCTAATCCATCAACTCCTCTGAAGAAGGGAGATGAGCAAACTCATCTAGGAATCTCCTCTTATGTGAGTTACAGCCTCTAAGAACCCACTGGTTGGTGAGCTATGAGTTTCTTCCCACTCATAAATAGCATGTAGATAGCAACGACATTTGGATATTATTACTATACAAAAGCCTTTACAAGTTTGTGTGTATGTTTTGTTTTGTTTTAAAGTAATACGTTCCCAAAAGTTTTCTGATTGCCAGTATTAAATATATGTTACAGGGCAGTACTGCTCTTCATTTTTCACATTTTAGGACAAAAAAAAGTGAGAGTAGGTGCTAACCATGCTGATGGCAACTGACAATACTACAAGGATAGACCCGTCATGCTTAGGGCACTGGCTCAGGGCTCTGGCATGCAATGCCTGGCTTCCTCAAAGTGCAGAGGGAGAGCCTAGTTTCTACACTACCAAACGTTTCTTTAATTCTGGAACAGAATTCTCAAGTATTTTTGCAGTAACAATTTTCCCCTTGATTGAAAATAGATATATTAAAAGTTATTTTCTAATTTAAAAGTAATGCTATACTTATTCACATATATAAGTGTATACACATGTATGCGTGTTAGATTGACAGTATTGTTATAACTTTAACAACACTTTCAGTAACTAGAATGAATCTTTATCTTTAGTGATGATGAATATCTTGACCAAAAAAAAGTGCACCATGGGAGAAAGTGGCACAAACATGGACTTCCCCCCATCTCCCCTCATGACTGTATCAAAGACACAGTGGCTGCAGAGGTGTTTGACCATGTCTGGAGAAATATGGTCGAGTTGTTGGAAGAGCTGCTCAGGAAACACTGGGAAACCACACTCACAGGTACTTAATGTGGATAGAATGGCAAAATGGAAAGAAAGCAATCTCTTCCTCAGCTTTGTGTCCTAGGGGGGCCTTATCCAGAACAGGATGAGAAAGGAGGTAGATTTTCTGATTACATCTTCACAGAGTAATTTCTAATCACTTCAGAAGAATGCATATTCACTCTGTGACATGTGAAAAATAGAGAAATACTAGAGAAAGTGGATGTCATTTACCTTTTGCAGATATGTTAACAGTATCTCATGTAAACTTTTTAATATTTTGTTGTTGTTATGTGCCATCAAGGAACCTGCAACTCATAGCAACCCTTTGTACACTAGCTCAGAAAGCTACCCTATTCTGAGCCAGTCTCATTTCTGACAGATGTAATTCCATTTCTTCCGTCACTGAGTGAATCCATCTTATTCTGGGTCTTCCTCTCCTATGCTATCCCTCCACCCTTCCAAGCATGATGTTCCTCTCCAAGGACTGGTCCCTCCTGGCAAAATGCCCCAAATATGTGAGACAGAGCCTCAAAATCCTTGCCTTCGAGGAGTAGCTTGGTTTCACCCTCTCCAGGACAGATCTGTTTGTTCTCCTGACAGCCCATGGTATGTTCAACCCTCTTCTCCAGCACCACAGCTCAAAGGCATTGATCTTTCTTCTGTCATCTTTAGCTATTGTCAAGCTGTCAGATGCATAGCAAGTGATTTCAAAAACTGGGGCCTGGACTAGGCACACCTTAGTCTCAAGACATAATTGAGTCAAATAATAAATATAATTTTATAACCCACTTTCCTTTTTTAAAAAAGTGATATTTATTAAATATTCTTAATCAGATGTTTAAAAGTAGCTAGTATTATACCACAAGAACTTACAGTGACAGTCTGTAGAGTGTTGCACTGTCAGTTCAAAGTGGCACTTTCCTAACAATTTGAATACACAACACCTTTGAGGAAGAAAGATAGACAGTCGCCTCCCATGCAATTTATAACCTCTAAAAATCCCCTGACGTGTCGCCTATGAATCGGTAGTCACTCAACAGCATTGAGTTGAGAAGCTTTAATAATTCCTTAGTGAGATGGATTGACTCCAATAATGGCTTTAACGATGGGCTTGAGCTCAGCAGAGATTGGGAGAATGGAGTGAAATTGGGCAAGGTTTCTACCTTTATACATCGAGTTCTTAGGATCCTGATGATGTGGAACCTAAAAACAACAACAGTCCTTAATAGGTTGCTTGTTCAAATAATTAACTGTTCAAATAATTAACATTGTTATGAAAAATATAAGGACACACTTTGTAAAGTAAAATACAAGCATTTTAATAAACACTATATTTCAAATGCAAACTATTTTCCAAACTACTTAAAATTAAGCAGAAATAAATCATAGGCACACCAGTGGTAAATGTTAATGCTTATTTTTATGTAGTTAGTTTATACCTAAGGAAATAATCATGTTACTTTTGGGAGTAGAAAGTCAAGAATGCTGCAGCCGAGAAACCTTAGTCTGAAGGCATAATCACTGAACGAGAAGTTTGGTCATGCACCTGCCATCTGCCAGATCCAGACTCAAATGAGCTGCTTCCAGTTCCACAGCTCAACTGTGAAACCTGAGCTCTGCTCTTGCTAGAGCTGTTTATATTTTTTTAATTAATTTTAATGAACATTTACAGAGATTTTAGATTTCCATTCATTCATTGTAGCACTTTTCTCCCTGTCCACCTCTCTCCCTAAGTTTATATTTTTAAGTGAAAATTATTTGTTAAAATGACAAAGGTGTGCTTCCCAACATGCTGAGTGTAATAAAGTGAATAGTAAATACAATCACTAAATGACACATGTGAAAACAATGTTGAGTTTTCAAATAGTTTTTTACATATCTTTACACCACAATGAACAGTATTTTGTTATATATCTTTTTACCGTCATAAAAATAAGTGAGATTTCCTTGTGCAAAATGTAAAAAAACATTAAAAAACTAATAAAAACTAAGTAATACTTTAAAAAGAAAACCTAGTGTTTTCAAACTCAAAAAAATTACCTGAGCTTTTATAAAACACTGAGAGAAGAAGTCATGCTCTGGGGTATAATTCCTGTTTTTACATACCCTGAAAAGACAGGCATTCCATCTTCTGAGGGTAATATAGTGATATAAAGTTGATATACAAAATAAAGAGGCAAGAATAGTGCAGGTTCATCTCACCTACTCTGGATATGTTACCAGGAGGGACCAGTCCCTGGGAAAAGACATCATTCTGGGAAAATTGGAAGGTAAAAGAGAGAGTAAGACCCTCAATAAAATGGATTTCACAGTAATTGTAACCAAGGACTCAAGCAGGTAGGAGACCATGATGATGGCACAGAATGGAGCAAGGCTCAGCTCTGTTGTTCACAGTGCCACTATGAGTTACAGTTTACTTGATGAGAATAAAACAATAACCAGTTAGTAGGGGCTTTGTTAAAAATAAAAATAAACAAAAAGCATCTATAGGAGACCAAATATCAACAATTTCTTTAAAGCAAAGATGAGAGATCAAGGATCAAGTAAACTAGACTACTGGAACAGAACAACCTGAAAAGAGTGAGAATGCTGAAACATTCTGGGGGAAAAACTATAACTAATGCTACTGGAACCGACCCATAGCTAACACTCCAGAGGATTTTCAGAGGCAGTTAATTGCTCTGGAGGAGGTTGCCTGTGCTTCTCATATGGAGCAGTTGGTGGCCTTGAACTTGTGGCCTTTGGGATTGCAGTGCAGCTTTTTGCCACCAGGACTCCCTGGTGATCCAACAGAGTGTGGAAATTATAAAACAATATCATTAATATCATATGGAAGCAATATTCTGCTGAAGATTATCCAAAAATGCCTGAAGTAGCACATTAACAGAGAACTGCCTGAAGTGCAGCCTGGGTTTAGAAGAGGTCATGGTACTAGGGATATTGTAGCTAATGTCAGATGGATCTTGGCTAAAAGCAGGGAATGCCAGAGAAATGTCTATTTGTGTTTCATTGATTATGCAAAGGCATTTTACAGTGTGGACCACAACAAACTGTGGCTAACTCTGAGAAGAATGGGAATCTCAGAACACTTGATCATACTTACGCAAAACCTGTACTTTGACCAGGAGGCAGTTGTCAGAACAGAACAAGGTTCAAAATTGGGAAGGATGTACACCAGGGATGTGTCATATCTCCATACCCTTTCAATCTGTGCAGAACAGATTATCCTTGAGTCTTGGCTCTGTGAGAAGAAATGTGGCATCAGGATTAAAGGTAGACTCATCAACAGCCTGTGTTATGCAGATGACACAATCCTGCTTGCTGAAACTGAAGAGGATGTGAAGCACTGCTGCAGAGGTCAAGGAATGTAGCCTTCAATGTTGATTGAAGCTCAACATCAAGAACACAAAGATTCTCACCACTGGGCTAATTGGCAACATTGTGATGGATGGTGAAGAAATTGAGATTGTAAACAGTTTTAATTTGCTTGGCTCCACAATCAACACTCTTGCACCAGCAACCAGGAAATTAAAAAGACGTATTGCATTGGGAAAATCTGCTGTCAGAGATTTCTTTAGAATACTGAAGAGCAATGGTGTCAGTCTGAAGACTAAGTTGTGCCTGATCCAGGCCATGGCCTTTGCAATCACTTGCTGTGCATCAGAGAACTGGGCAGTGACTAGGGATGATAGAAGGAGAATTGATGCCTTTGAGCTGTAGTGCTGGAGAAGAGTATTGCATCTACCATGGACTGCTGAAAAAACAAACAGGTTCATCCTGGAGAGGGTTAAAACTGGCTGCTCCTTGGAGGCAAGGATTCTAAAGCTTCATCTGGCATACTTTGGACATATTGCAAGGAGGGACCAGTCTTTTGAGAGGAACATCATGCTTTGGAGGATGGAGGAACAGCACAAGAGAGCAAGACCGTCAATGAGATGCATTGATTTAGTGACTGGGGTAATAGGGGCAGGTGTGTCAGAGACAATAAGATTGGCACAGGATAGAGTAGGGTTTCAGGTTGTGCATAGGGTCGCTATGAGTTGCAGGCAACTTGCTGGCACATAACAACACCACCACCATCGACTAACTTGTATAGAAATTGCCAAGCAGGGACTTAATTTACTGTGTAGGCTTTCACCAAAAACACAATAAAATAATAATAATATTTTTTTAAAAGATGGGCATTAAAAATAAATAAATAAACAAATTAAAAAGATGGACATTCCATTATGTGCTTGGGGAATAGCATTCCGTTGTTCCATTACACAGTAGCATAGACTAAGGATAACACAAGAACAAATGTTCTCTTTGAGTAGTGAATTTTGAATATATATACTATATAATTTGTGTTAATATGATAACTTGATTAGATGTTTAATTATAATACCTATATTTTTGGTAACACAGAAGGAAAAAAGAAGAAAGAAAAACCAAAAGTAGCTGAAAATAAATCAGAGCATATACTCATTTCTCATCCTAACACTGGTACATCGAGTGTTCCTCCATCTAGAAGTTCTGAAACTCGAAGTATATCCCTGGCTTCTCATCTTATTCCATCTCAGGTAGATATTTTTCAACTATTCTATCTCTCTTGCCCTCAGTCTTTTTCATCTTTTGTCTCAGTCTGTCAAGATACTCATCTATAAAACATTTGAATCTATGTGTCAATAAAACCAAATTTCATAAAATTTAATAAAAACATCATATTCTTTAGTGGAAGAGGGACATTTATGGTTCTGTTGTTTTGTAGATTTCTTTTTATCATTTTAGAAGAGTAAAACATTTTACCTCCTAATATTTCTAGCCAATTTGAAGATTATAAGTGTTCTCATTTTCTTCCACCCAATTAATAAAATATTCAGTCCACAGGTTTATGTGAGGTTCATTTAGAATTGGTTATATTTTTATTAAGTATATGGAATTAAATATTTTTGGATGTATATAAAGGATGAAGGAACAAAACAATCATAACCTCTGACCTAGTAAAATGAAAAGTATAAGGTCAGATGTAACACAGTCTTTAAGAGATCAGCAATAAAATACTGGAAGAGAATAAAGGAAAGGATGATTAGAGGGATCATTGGTAACACTGGTAATGATAAGGAGCTGCACTGCCTATTTGAAGTCACACAGTTCAAATCCACCAGCTGCTCTGTGGGAGAAGGATGGGCAGTCTCCTCCAATGCTATTTACAGCTTTTAAAAACCTGCTAGAAGATCAACTATGGGCCAGTTCCAACTCTGTAGTACTTAACAACAGGATTACATATAGTGAGATTTGATCCTTTAGACTAGAGATAAAATTTGAACAGAAACATGAAATTTGTAGAACTTTCTCTCGTGGGAGAAGCTCTGGTGACTTATTGCATACTGTGCAAAGACATGAAGGTCAGATTAAGCATGTTTGATGAGCAGGGGTTGACCTGAGGAGTTAGAGGCATAAGACAGCACAGGTCTGGTGGCAAGAGCTGGAGATTTGGAATCAAGAGTCATTGAGAAGCGTTCTTTTGGTCATATTGTCTAACATCTCTAAAATTCAACACCCTTTCATGTTAAATAAGGCTACCCAAAATCTCTGTAAATGTTTATGAAAATTAATAAAATATAATTATAGAAAAAAAAATAAGGCTACTACTATGAGCTGTGGGTGGGAAAACTCATGTTTAATCAACAGAAACTGGTAGACTAGTTGTACGGCCTTGGTATTTAAAAGTCCTGTGGGCCATAAATCTCCAGGTTGGAGACTGATGTAGGAAGAATTGGATTCTGGAAGGTGGGATGTTTCCTGTTGGTTGAGGGCTGGGTGTGAACTGTTTTGTTGTTTTTTATTTCATTCACAATTGTGTGTGAGCTTATTGGATTTGCTAAATTTAGCTAACAATGAGTTGTGGGTGGGAAGCCTCTTGTTTAAAGTCAGCAGGACCTGGTGAAGGACCTTGATATTTAAAAGTCTGGTGGGCACTACGTCTCCAGTTTGGAAGCAGATGTTTGAAGTGTCTGTGTTCTAGAAGGTGGGATGTTTTGTGTTGTTTGAGGGTTGGGTATGAACTGTTTGGTCATTTTTTATTCCATTCACAATTGTTTGTGAGCTGATTTGATTTGCTAGATTTAGCTAACAAGAAGCTGGAGTGCTAAGCCTCTTGTTTAGGGTCAATAGGACCTAGTGGAGGGCCTCTGGTTTTTAAAAGTCAGTAGGGCTTGGTGTTAATTTTGTTTGGGACTAACATTCTTCTAAGTGGTATAGCATTGCTTTGTCATTTTGCTGTAGTGAGGTACCTTGGGGTTGCTCTGTTGCTGAACACTGTGCTATTCTGTGTCAAACACCATAATGGTTAGCCATGGTGGACAGTGTTTGGTGGAGCTCCCAGATTAAGCCAAGCTTGGAAGTAGGAGCGGCATCTACTTCCTAAACAATATGCCTCGGAACTTAGAGAAACAACAATAGTTATAGAACAGGGTTCAGGTCTTTTGTTTATAGGGTTACTATGAGTCATGTTCAACTTAATGGCACTGAACAACAACTACAGCAACTATTTGGTCCAAGTGACTGTTGTAAGGATAAAATCATATAACCATCTGATAGCACCTTACAGAGTATCTGGTATGCATTCATTAAATTTCTTCTGAACCTTAACTGCATTTGGAAATCTTTGAGAAGCTGGGTGGACAGAATGGGCTTGAGTGGTGATCAGGAATTGAGTTATAGATCCCCTCCCTCCCTTCCAGGTCACTGTGGTTAAGTGTCATTTCTCTTCATGTAACTACTACTCTATCCAGGTTCCAGAAGACTTCACCAGAATCTTGCCACTTCAGGTGGCCGAAGCTTGGTAATGGATCCTTCACAGTAACAAGCCTCAGGAATTCAGCTACTCTTAGTTGGTTTCTCTTGTCTTCATTAAATATATCCTCTTTACTATTTCCCCACTCAAATAAGCTAGATTGCTTATTCCCCCTTTTTGCCCTATTGATTCCTGACAGACATGAGTCATTGAGTGTTACAGGATGCTTTTTAATTTTTTACAATTTTTTTTCAGATACATCGCTTCTCCAACAATTTTTGTAGTGATTTGAATGGGGTTATGACAATTCAAGCAAAACCACTTCAACAGAGACCTAACTATTTTGCAGATAGAACACAGTACGTATAAGAAGTATCCCAATTGGTGTCCTAAAGCTGGGAAACTTAAGCACTGAATATTACAAGGGACATGGAGCTCATTTAATCTGTTTAACATGTGTCCACAAATATTCTATGGAATAATAAATCTAATACAAATGAATGAAATGTAGTATTCTAATAGAGAGATCCTGATAGTATGTTGGGTTTTAATCCAGACAGTCAGGAAGAAAAATGATGTTCTTATTAAGACTTACAGCCTTGGAAATTCACCAGGTCACTGTGAGCTGGATGCAACTCAGTGGTACTCAGTTTTGGTTACTACTGAGTATAAAAGAATGCTGGTGGCATAGGGCATAGTGTGTTGGGCTACTAACCAGATATGTTTTCGATCCACTAACAACTCCAGTGAAGAAAAATGGGCTGATAACTCCCATAAAAATGTATAGATTTGGAAGCCCAATGGCAGGCCACTATGAGTCAGAATTGTCTTGATGGCAGTAAGATTATTACACATTATCTTGAAGGAGATGAGAAAAGGAAAATGCAACTATAAATCCTTAATTTGGAAGCTTCTGTGATTGATTGCAAACAATGAGATATTTAGATATCTCCTCTTCAATTATTTCTTGATTGAAATTGAAGTCATCAGCTGTCTATTCATTCAGTAGATTATTAGGATTATATTCCAGGTGCTAAAACTGTTAATAGATATATATGATGGTAGCTTTAAAAATAGCTTTTTCATCCATTACTGTAGCTCTACCTGGTCTCCAGCCACCTTAACTCTAGATATATGGTCTTACAAATCATCAACAGCTGTGGGACTAAGATAAGAGAAAGTGCTTCCTACACTGGGTGGCAAGACTTAAGGGAGACTGGACCAAGACGCTGGTGGTGACACCCTGATGATGGTGATGGAGAGACTGTGGCATTGTTGTGGAGAAACTTTAGCAAGGTGTAACCAGAGGGGCCCTTAGAGGTTCTAGCTGGGTGATTGAAAAAGAAAATGAGTTACAACTGCTCAAAGGCAAACTTTGCTGGATGATTTTAACTTGACTGCTGAACTGACACCAGAGCCTTGACTAATTAAGGAATTGTGTTTTGCTGTTAATCTGGCTTGAGACTGCTGGACTAACCCTAGACTTATAAGGTATTCTTTGCCTCCTTCATTCTCCAACCTATTTTCCTAATAAACTTCACTTTTAGTACCACAACTGTGAGTAAAGTCTATAAGTCAACACCAAATAAAGGAATCTCTTGCTGCTGGTGTGGCTCTAGAGGCACCAGGAGGCTAGGCTACAGGCTCTTTATCTGCTTTCTACTCTGAGGTGGTAAGGGACTGTGCTATTCTCACTTTCTCTGACCCTTTCAGGGAGACAATTATAACCCTGTGCTTCCTTGTCCCAATTTCTGCTCTCCAGGTAATGGACTATGGCTATTGTTTTTGTCATTGTTAGTTGCTGTTGATTCTGACACATAGTGACCCCATGTGACTCAGTAGAACTACACCATAGGATTTTCTAGGGTGTCAATTTTCTGGAAGCAGATCACCATGTCTTCTCTCTTGAATCTGCTGAATTGAAGCTATCAACCTTTCTGTTACTTAGTGTCCAGCTGATTAACTAGTGTACCACCAGGGCTCCTTGAATAGTACCTAGTGATCAACACAGTTGTCTTCTCTTTTCTCCCAGCACTAACATCTGAGTAACTAACTCCATTTCCCTCCCACAGTAATGAACCAGAAGACAAATCAGCGAATGTAGGTGCCAGCGCTCCTTCTTCAGCACGACACCGACTCGGAAGAGTCTCAGATGCTCGTGGACTGCAGACCTCCGCCAGGAAGACGCCTGTGCACAGAAGGCTCCCTTCACTTACTTCTGACTCACAGAGAATTAAAACTCCCAATGTGTATAGTGATGAAGTTCTTAGAGGAACGAAACTGTAAGTCCCAACAAA